TAGTATCCTTCACCTCTTCAACCTGAGTCTGAGCCAGGAGAGGATACCGGTGCTGTGGAAAACGTCCTGCTTGGTCCTGGTCCCAAAGAAGACGAAACCATCTGATCTCAAAGACTATCGACCAGTGGCTCTCACATCTCATGATGAAAGTGCTGGAGAGGCTCGTCTTGACCCACCTCAGGCCGCAGGTGAAACCATCCCTTGACCCTCTACAATTTGCCTACCAGCCACATCTGGGAGTGGACGATGCCATCATCTACCTGCTGCAGCGTGCTCACTCACATCTGGAGGGAAACGGCTGCACTGTGAGAATCACTTTTTTTGATTTCTCCAGTGCATTCAACACCATCCAGCAACAACTGCTGAAGAGAAGCTGCAGTTGATGGGTGTGGACTCGTCCATCACCTCCTGGATTACTGACTACCTGACAGACAGACCACAGTTTGTCCGACTTGGAAGTGTTCAGTCTGGAATGGTGGAGAGTAGTACAGGAGCTCCACAGGGGAATGTGCTGTCTCCTTTCCTTTTCACCTTGTACACCTCTGACTTTAAGTACAACTCCAGGTCATGCCACTTGCAGAAGTTTTCTGATGACTCTGCGGTGGTGGGGTGTATAAATGATGGGCAAGAGGGGGAGTACAGAGAGCTGGTGGATAACTTTGTGGAGTGGACAGGAAGAAATCACCTGATTCTGAACGTGGATAAGACCAGGGAGATGGTGATCGACTTCAGAAGGAAGAGGACAGAGCCACCACCGCTGTGCATCCTGGGAGAGGCTGTGTCTGTGGTAGAGGAGTACAAGTACCTGGGTGTCAACATAGACAACAAACTGAACTGGAAGGCCAACACTCCGGCTGTGTACATGAAGGGAATGAGCCGACTCTACTTTCTGAGGAAGCTGAGATCCTTCAACGTGTGCAGCAAGATGTTGGAGATCTTCTATCAGTCTGTTGTGGCCAGTGCACTGTTCTCTGCTGTGGTCTGCTGGGGGAGCAGCACTGGAGCGGGTGACACTAAGAGACTGGACAAACTCATTAAGAAGGCCTGCTCTGTGATAGGCTGCAAGCTGGACTCTTTTGTAGTGGTGACAGAGAGGAGGACTCTGAACAAACTGTTATCCATTATGGACAATCCTGATCACCCTCTGCACACCCTACAGCGGAGCAGCTTCTCCAACAGACTGATACAACTCTGCTGTCACAAGGACAGATACAAGAAATCTTTCTTACCGAAGGCCATAACTCTGTACAACAGCTCACCTCATGCGAGTCATCATGATAATATCTGTCTCTCCATACTGTAATCTGTTCTGCACATGTTAAATTTACAAATTATCCCTGCACTCATGTTCACTTCATTTGGCTGTCTACTTGCCGTTATATTGTATAGTTTCTGCTTATAATATGTCTACACTCATGCACTTTAACTTATGTCAATACTGTCCATTTACTACTCTGTTTTTGCACATTTACATTCAATCTTCCATATTTAATCTTCCTATTTAAGACTAGTAATGCTTAGTTAAATCCTGGTTGTATATATTCTTATTTTTGATATTTTTTAGTACTTATTTACTTTGTATTTAATATTATATTGTGTTTAGATTGCTAACATTGTGTTTTTTACTCAATGACATAGAGAAAAGCAGATACATTTTGCAAATGACTGATTTAAGTACATACGTAAATGAGACTAGATGGGAGAAATATGCTAGTTGCATTACTGAAATATTCATAACATTTCTCACCTTGACTTTCAGATCAGTGATCCCCAGAGCATTTGCAGCTGACTTCATGGCAGCAGTGTGGTTTGCACTGTTTCTAAAATACAAGTGCAGTTGCTGGAGGTGCTCCTTGAAGGTCCTCATGTATGGCACATTGTCAGCTGCATCTTTACAGGCCAGTGAAAGCCAATGGGCAGCACAATGCGTACAAAGCAGCGTTGGCCAAACATCTGTCAGCTGCCTTGCCACTCCATTTAATCGTCCTTAAAGTTTTTTTTAAAGAGGCGATTAAAAACAATGCATTTTATGATTTAGAACAGATTAAATGTGGGATGGAATGAATCAAATTTAACTCAGGAAATAAAACAATGAGCATTTCTTAGCTACCTGTCATTACAGCTGCACCATCAGTTCCTAGACCAAATATGCGGTGAGTAGGGATCTCCTTCTTGGTCACAACCTGCCATCCGCAATAGGGACCAAATCAAGGAAGTGACAGTAGAGCTTGCCTTCTTGGTCCAAGTATCTTACAAAATCAAATTTAACATCCATAAGCATTCATAAATTATTCAGTTTGATTATTTATAACAAGATGCTGCTAAAATGTTTGTATACCTGACATGGATGTCCAGCTGCTTAAGTACAGCCACGTCTGTATTTTTGTCCAGCTCTAGCCCCACTGATTGGGAAGCCTGGATGTTGTTCAGTATAGGTTTTTCAATGACTGATGCCAGAATCTCGTCAATGATCCTATGAGACCGGTAATTAGTGCTCTGACCAACCTGAAAAGCAAGCACACATTTGGATTTTCAGTTATTACAAAGTAATCCATAGCCCCTTCACTGAAAAAAGCAATTATTAGGCATTAAAGGATCTGTATTTTTAAGTGTTTAGCATGAAAAAATGGAACCATAAATTACTAACTGTAGACATCACTTGCAAATGATTTGTCTTGTGCTGTAAATACATAGTTATTACCTTCAACATTTCAAAATAGGCACATCCAAGCAGCTGGGCCAGGTCAAGCAAAGCTGCATAATTTGTATGATGTGCAATTTCATGCTTGACCAGCCAGTAAAGACATTTGAAACCCCCGATCACAGCCTCATGCTCCATGACAAGAGTTGACTCCAAGGCAGCAAGTGACAGTGTTGCCTGAAATAAGTAGGTTTTTTTTTTACTGCTTCTAAATGTAATGGTAGGGGTTTCATTTAATATTTGACTTAAAAAAATAACATTAATCTAGCTATTCCACAGACGACCAAATAGGCTAAAGTTGAAATGAAATCTGAAAACATACCTTTCATCAAGTTCACATGACATTGTGTCACAGCAATGTGGCTGTCAGATGACGCATATTTGTTCAACTTGTCCTTTCGATAGGACTTGCAGGGAGACTCTATAAATGCTCGAGTCTGGCTTCCCCTATTAGCTGGCTTTTTATGTTGCCTGCATATCTTACAGGACATTCCTTAAAATAGAAAAAGATGGTTAAAGTTACTTGTCTGAAATGTAAAATATAGGCCTTAAAAATAAATAACAGGCTTGTTGGACCTTATCTGTTCTATATCAATACAGCTGATGCGAGAGAGAGAGTGACATAGACCTACCTCTACCTAGAAGTAACATCTGTGTGTGTGCGTGTGTGTGTACATGTTATTTTTACAGTCTATGGTGTGTACTGACTGGGGCGCCTGTGACAGGCAGCTGAGCCCGCTGAACATGTTAATTGGCAAATATGTCATAACCGCTAGTTACACTTCCGCAGCTCACTACTAGTAGAATTAGGTTTGTGAACTTACCTATGTCTGTTTTATAAAGCCATGCTTTATATTTGGGTTTCCATCCAAGTAGGGTCTCACCCTTGTGCTTGTTTGCACTTCTAACTCCCTCCTGCTCCTCTGCCTGTACCGGGACCGTTTGAGATGTTAAGGCCGAGGGTTCTTCAGAACGTGCAGAAGTTTCCCTGTCACTTCTCGGTTGTGCAAAAAAATTAACAATTTTTGGCTGTTTAGGCTCGTCACCTGCACTGTTGCGCTTCGCCATTTTCTAGAGTAACGTTAATGAGTGAACTAACTAGCTTTAAGGTGTTAAGGCAATGTGCCAAGGCAATGGTAGGGGAAACACTGATAGGGTTGTAATTTGCATGTACCTTGAATTTAGTTAGAGATATGTATTTGTATGTAAAGTATACATTTGGCCTAGGGCCTCTATTAGTTTCATAAATCTTTTGACACAAAAATGTACCCATTTGAGCTGGAGCCACATCTGGAAGCAGGACTTTGGAGGCACCCATAATATGGGTGATGATAGAGTAGATGTGGTCACTCTATGATACACCTACTAGGCTCCTTTGTTGCAGACTGTCTCTCTCTAGAGGCCTACAAGATGTTCAAACGTAACACACACCAGTCCTTTTTCAATTTGTCCACACATGGCCAGCAGAGGGTGTGGTCAGGTTGCTGTTTTTGTGAAAAACCCCTTGCAGGTGCATAACAGTTTATACATAATATAACTGACCTTGAGTTTGTTGCTTTGAAGGTTACTGATTGTGTATAGAATTCAAGACTACAATGTGACATCCTCTAACCCATTGTTATTATCATGATTAAAACATGATTGTTGAGTTCTTCCGTCCTAAAGATTTGCTCAACTTATCACCGTTGCTGAAACAGAGAAAAACACACTACTGGACACAGTTTTAATCCCATTACTGCAGCAATGTCTCCACCATGCTGTCACAGAGACCTATTACAGTTACCACAATTCCCCTTACTGCCCAATCTCTTCTTACAGTTCATAAAGAATTGTACATTTGTATATCAGTTGATATGTTTTGTGTAGTGCATTGTATGTTTTGTAAAACATAATATTTCAGACAAAATGTTGGATGATACCTTCATCTCAATGTCTTTAACACATCAATTGTAACACTAGTAACCACCACGGTTGCCATTCTGCACCTTGGATCTTTCCATTCACTTTATAAAGGCAGGGTTGATTGAATTAAGATTTTTTGAGAAGAATCAGATCAGTTGGCTTCAGGTTTTTTAGGAGATTGAAAGTGAATGTACAACTCAAACTTTCGGTGCTTATTGTATGTATTTCATCCAGTTTAGTGAATATCATATCTAATCATGTTTTAAGTGGGCTTTTGTGTAAGAGGAAGAGACAAAAAAACAGACATATGACAGAAAAAAATATTTTATTGATTGAATGAGCGATTGTATCATGATCATGTATTCAAACAGGCTGATTAAGAGAACATAGTACCATGGGGGATGTCAGCATGTTATGGAAATCTTTAATGACTTTAATGATTGAATTCTTAGCAAATCGATGCAATTCAAAAACATTTATTTTTCTGTTTTAACTCTCCAAAATCTGCTCTGCTAAAATAGTTGTGGCTGAATGGAAAGAGAATCTCAATGTCCAAAAAAAGTTTAAAAGTCCCTCATTCCAATTACCTCACAGGGGCATTATTGTACATTATGTAATATGATATTCAATGTATCGTATTTTACTGTGCATTTCATCATATCATTACATTATTTATTGTATAGTATGGAAGTTCATATCATAATATATTGATTGAATTATATTGCATTTTGTTATATTGCTGACACAGCATTGGGACAATCTGGGCTTCAGTTTCTTGCCTAAGGATCCTTCAAAACATGACTACAGGGGATGGGGATCGAACCCTCGACTTGAGCATGTTTTAGCATGTTGTACCAAAATGTTATGAAGGCATTTAACATAAAAATGATAATAACCATCTATGAGTATTTGGACGCTTTGCCCAGTCCATTAAGAGATCTGCTTTTAATCGTTCTGTAAAACAAATGTGTGCAGTTTTAAAGCTACATATCCTAAGAAGCTAAGATAAAGCAATTGAACAATCACCCAGCAGCTGCAGTGCTAAATATGTTAAATTACATTTAGAAAAAAAATCTTGTTCCATTGAGGCAAAGGTATAGGTTAGCTTAATGGTCACCATGTGGACACTTCTCAAGCAGTCAATATAAAATTACTTATTTTTAAAGTGTTCATAATAAGACACAATAACACCCTTTATTCCTGACCAGAAAAAACCCCCAATAATTATATTGCTTTGTTATTATTACAGATGCACATGCAGCTGTCTTAACTCTCAAATGTGGGCAGAGGCTGGTATTTGACCCTTGATATTTTGGCTTTGTACACAACCACTCCACTGATCATGCCAACGGCTGCAACAAGACATCCAGCGATGAAAACCAGGTTCAGATTCAGGTTCGTCACTGGAGAAAAAAGAGAACAAAGATTTGATTTTGACCTCATCAAAGTGTACCTGGGTTTGTAAAATGTCAGGTGTGCTGTAAGTAAAGCAAAATTCCTATTTTCTTACTTGGGCTCTCTGCTCTCTCTGCTGACCTCCTCATGCGCAGGGGACCCTGGGAGACAAGGTGGGATGAAGTCTGGCCGACAGTCTCTCTCTTACGCCTGTCGAGGCCTTGATTCATTGGCATGCATCCCTGTGAGCACCTGGTGTTGGGTTCTCCTGCCTGACACATCAGGACTGAGCAGCTGATATACACCTGAATACAACAAGACATGCTGTCATTATGAGGGCAGAAAAACTGTTTTAACAAGTTACCTTATTTTAAAACGTGGGACAATCATTTCATGAAAAATAATAACTTTATTGAAACATTATTTGACAAAAAAAAAATATTTTGCATTTTCTTACTATGCTTTTATTGGAGTTAAGCCTTTATTTGAACAACTTTCCTTAACATTTTTAATTAACTATTAGTGCAATAAGTCTCCCAGGTGGCTATAGATTGTCTTCCTCTTGCTGACAAACTGTTGCTGTATTTAAAAATGAGTTGTTTCACATGAATATCACATTATTTCACCTGTTCGACAAACAAAATTAAACCTATTATACATTTCATAAATGCTTTTACATTTATAAAAGGACAGAGCTTATGCCATTTCCAGTCAGATTAACCACAAAGTGCATTCTTCACCTGGTCATGTAATCCGATAAACTTGAAGGCCTCCATGCTGAATTTGAACTGTCTCTGGTGGGGGGGGGAATGGATGATAACAGTCGAGTCCATTACACACCTATTGAGAGTAAATAAAAAATATTATGAATATATCCTTTATAATATTTTGTAATCAAGCAATAGAAGCCATTACAGGGTAGGATAATCATTGAACAAATCTGCAGGTAAAATCAAACCACTCTTTTTAAATTCCGTGTTGTATCCTGTTTCTAGTAGGGGTCATAAGCACACTTACCCATTCTGGATGATAGGGTAGGCTGGCATGTAGTTGGGGTTGTCATACGGTGCAGCGCTGCAGGACTCCACAAACAGCTCTGTGTTGTTGAGTGAAGACGTGGCCTCGATCTGCATGTAGATGCGGCTCCCCAAGTCGTACTCCAGAGGGTAATAGTGTGGATCGATCATGGTCTGGAACTGAACGTTGGGAAAGAACTCAAACTGGTACGTGAACTTGCCGAAGCCTTTCTCCCACACAGTGGTTGCATTCCTGTGTGCTGTGAAGCTCTGAGTCACGTTCCCTTGTTTGGGATACTGACAGTAGAACTGAACCTCCAGCAAGTTTGTTCTGGTGATCAGGTTGTTGTTGTTATCAAACGTGGTGATTTCATTCTTGAACTTTAGGAATTCCTCATCTTCCTGCAGAGTTAGAGGTTGTATATTCAGTTCTCACGCTGTTTATGAGACAGAAAAGCAACAGCATCAACTAACAAATAAAGCTAAAAACACTGTGTTACCTCGATCTGGGTGCCACAAGAGTTGAGAGGGATGATGCCGATGACATGAGTGCTGTTGGAATGAGTCTTCAGGCTGCAGACGATGTTTGAGGGGTCATTGAGCCGTAAATCATCCTCGCTGAGTCGGGGGAATGAAGATTTCTCAATCTCCACTCTCATTGTGGACCGACTGCAGATCACATTGGCTTCAACTTGAACAAGATATAGAAATGTATTCATTTAAAGCAAATGCATTAAGCTGAGAACTGTACACATTTTTCTTTGTATCAGTAACAATGTTTTTGTCACAAAATTCCTTTAAGTAATAGTATGGATTTTTTGTATGGGGTTGTATGAGGGAGTTTAATTAGTCAGTGCATTTTTGTGGTAGCAAAGTTGGCCCAAAGAGCGCTTTATCTTTAGTGCATGTCTTGCAGCTTGAGTTGTTAAACAAAATGTTTCTTACGTTTTGTACCCCTGGAACAGTACAAAATTAAAAGGAAGAAATCCAAACTGCATCAGCAGTGTCTGTAAACTGTTCCTGTACAGCGATGTATGCCCCCTGTTCCTGCTGAGAGCCTCACACCCAAGGTTCCTGCTGTGAGCCTCAAACTAGGGCTGGGTGATATGGCCTGAAAATAAAATGCCTGATTTTCGTTGTTTTACACCACACTAATTTACAATTTTAATCGTCTTTTTTTCTCAAACAACCTACAAAACACAGAACAAGGCACATTTCCAATTCGGATATGGAAATTAATAAGGTGTTTTGAGAGACAACTTTCCGGGGTAGGGGGCTTTATGGACTACGGGAGCCCAGAGAAGCAGTGAAGGTTGTTTACCATTATTATTCATGTTAAAGTGAAAATCTATTTTAATTTTGAAAAACCGTCCAAAACAATACATTCAAATTAATTTTAAAAAATCGATCTATAGCCCAGCACTACCTCAAACCCCCTGTTGCAGTAAAGGAAGTCCACCCAGGTTCCCCCTCGGCAGACCTGTGGATGCCTTGTTCTCTTGCTTTCTCCTCTGGGGTCGGGGATGATGTCTATCACTGGTCCCACATCTGACCAATGTTCCTGGTCCCCCTGTCTGTGGTCCTACATTCACCTGTTCCTGAGCCATCTGGATGGCCCCTCTGGGATTAATAGTATTAAAGTATTTTTGATTCTGATTCTTCTGACACTACTCAACATATCTGTTCAGCTTGCCTGGTCTGCTTTCTGAACTGATCTGCCTGTCTGGTGGGCCTCCTGGCCGCCCTTACGTTCTGTCCTGGCAATATGTCCTGCTTTCAGGTCTTCTGCCTTTTTTCCTTAACTCAATACTCCCTGAGGTGAGTCATCCCCTCTGTGTCAGTTCACTTGTCGTCCCACCCATGTTCCTGAATTGGTAAATTTTCTCGGGGCTCTGGTATTTCTTCTATCGGATTCTTTTTGGGGATTTTGATGGACATTTGTTTGGAAATTTGAAAATATAAGCTTTTGTTTTTGCCTTTTGCAAATAAATCTTTTCGCTAAGTATTGCATATGGATTCTCCTCTTTGTTGTTTGCACTAATGACAGGGATGAGTGAGACTGTGGGATGACATGCAGCACAGGGCCAAGGTCAGATTCGGAACATGATGAGGACTACAGCCTCTGATAATGGGGTGCGTGACATAACCACAAGCCATCCGAGAATTTTTTTTTGCGGAAATGCAAAAGATGCTTGATAATAGTTTAACAAAGCTTTAGGCATGTGAAAATGGCCTTACCCTACTAAAAAAAAATAGCAAATTGACTCACCTTGCTTCTTTCCAACGTCCACAACTACACACCTCATGTCTGACTGATAGACGTTAGACCTGAAAAATATGAATGAACACTGATTTAACTTTTGAGACCTTCATTTTCAACTAAGCCCTGCAACGATCAAAAACTACAGCCCAAAACTGTCATCAATCTGTCCATCATGCACACTCAGTCTGATGCTCTGGACCAACTTTTAAATCGAATTGCATCCCAACATTTGAAGTTGTTACACATTGTATTATCATTTGTAAGTTGTGATAAAAAGTGCACTGGTAATGTATTTTATCTCCTGTCCTATTGTATTGAATCATATCCTGTGGCATCATATTATATATTTTGCCATCGAACATACTGTAACATACTAAATATTATCATTTGTATGGTATAATATTGTCTATTTGTATTTTGTTCAATCATAATTTGTAGTATCATAGGTTATCTATCGTTTCATACTTGGAAGTTGAGTTTTGTGGAGTGTATAATTTCTAAAGATATACTAACATTTGTTTAGATTGAAGGATATGCCCTCACATACTAATTCTGTCATAAAAAGTAAAATAACCAAACACACCCGATCACTGATTCTACAGCAAAGCAGATGACGTAATGATTTCCCAGGTGGTCTGAAGTTGGTGTCCATGTAATGACAAACTCGTTATGGGTGGTCCTATGCTTTCTGGTATTCAGTGGCCCGCTGAAGATGATGTCCTGTATTCTGCATAAAAACAAAGAATTCAAACATTCATATGTTATTACATGTCCAAATGATGAGAATGTTTTGCTGCATTGTTTCACTTACACTGAAAATAAGGATTCTGCTCTGACTCTGATCTCCACCTCCATGTCGACCTCTGCATTAATGTGCACTCCGTTTTCAGGTGTTGGGCTTATAAACTCAGGCAAGTAGATTCCTGGCTGACATGAGGGAGCGGGTTTGTCCACTGGAGAAAAAGGAGAAAAGATTATTGTTCACTCTGATTTAGTTGAATAGCTGGGCACATGTCTGTTAATCTGTAGACCAGCCTTTCCCAAATTTAAGACTGTCGCGGCCCACTTTGAAATACAAAAAATTACTCTGGGGCCCGTTATAAAATAAAAGTTATGACTACAGCTGTCAGTCGGACACTCCTGCGTCTCCCGTTTCTTTCTCCCGTTTCCCGCACCTGAATGCATCTCTCATTGTCTGAGCTCCCCTGAATGCAGCATGATCTCAGCGCATCTCCTGAGTAACAGCAGAGAGAGAGACATGCCCAGAAAAGTCTGAAGATTTTAAGTTTTAAGATATTAAGTTTGTTTAATACAAGTACAAGGTACTGTTCTATAGGAAAGGTATCCTTAAATAACTTATGTTGTGATCTTGCGCTATATAGGCCAGAAAATAAAATAACATGAACTTGACCATCAAGGGGGGGCGGGGGCGAACACTGAATATTGTGGTATTTTTTTTATTTTTAAATACCTGGTAGAGGCCTGTTCGCGGCCCACCTGTAGTACCCACATGGCTCACCAGGGGGCCGCGGCCCACACTTTGGGAAGCACTGCCTCACCTCATGGAAATTATCCATGGAAATGGAAATTATCCATGAGGTGTAGACCATTTATTGTAGCTGTTAATGTTTTATCAATTGTATGGTGGATGTTGATTTGAAAAACAGTTAACTTCCAGTAAATATGGTTTCTGCACGTCCAAACCTTATGAGGGAAGATGGATTGCTAACAACCTGAGCGATAGCATAGCGCTCCCTTTATGGTAGAGAGCTTAATGAATAACGGGCCAAAATGTCCATCTTAGTCTACCATTTTGTTTTGTCTTGTTTTGTGTTCACTTTATTTTTTAATCTGCATCTTTTGTGTCAAGTTTGACTACCTGCCATTGTTCTGTTTCCCACCTGTTGTCCCAACACATGTTTCTAATGAGAAATTAGTCTGACTCATACATACCACTGTGTTTCTACCAGCCCCCTGCCAGATTGTCATTGTTTTCTTAGTGTGTTCATACTTTCCAGCCTTGTTTTTCTTGTGTTTGCTTGTCTGGTTTAAAACTTTTTATTTTATTTTGTGGATTTATCCTCGTTAGATTTTTACGCCTTTGCTGACTGCCTCTCTGCGTTTGAACTACGGGCGTTTTAGTTAACAACTTTTTCTAACTAACGAACAACCAGTTTGGTCTAAGTTTACAGCGAGATGGTCATCCCTGACCCCTTGTCATTGGTTCACATGGCAGCCATTTTCTTCTGATGTAATTGATTGGTATGGGCAGATATTAAGATTGTTGTACTGTTCTTTAAAAGATTGAAACATGTAGAGAATCTGATCAATTGATTTAATTTCATAGCTTCTCTGTTGATCAGCAACCAAAAGGACAATCTGTAGTGAAACTTCAGTGACATAGTGTATTCCTTAGTTGAATACTTACGTTAACTATTTTCTTATTTGTTTTAATTTTAATAACGGGGGTGTCATGATTTAGTTTTGTATTTTGTATTTGAGTTTCCCCGCTTTATCCCAGTGTTGCTTGTTTCCCTTGTGTGTTAATGTTTCCTAGTGTTTTCTGTTTTAGTTTTGTCATTTATTGTTCTCGTGTATCTCTGTGTTTCACTGTGTTTTGTTAGAATCTTGAGTTCTGTGTGTCTTTAGTGTTTCATGATTTATTTTGTATTGTCCTCTGTGTTTCTGGTCTTGTGTTTCTCCCTGCCTTGATTGCCCTGATTGTCCTCACCTGTGTCTTGTTAGTCTCACCTGTGTTTGATTACCCCTGTCTATTTAGTCTCTGTGTTCCTTCCCTCGTGTTGTCAGTTCATTGTATGTTGTAAGTAGCCAGTGTTGATTGTTATATGTTGCAGTGTCAGTTTTTGCTCGTGCTCCTGTGTGGCTCCCTGTTTTTGATTCCTGTGTTTTTTTTGTTGAACTTTTGGAAGTAAGCTTAAGTTTGCCTTTGGAGTTTTTGATTATTAAATACTTTTAGTTAATTCTGCACGTGGGTCCAGTTCCTTATTTTTTCCCTGAATGTAACAGGGGGATTATTTACATTAATTGGTAAAATCACTTATTTTTATTTTTCACATTTGCATTCAGTAAGTGATTCGCAAAATAAAATGTGTCTTCCGCCTGCTCATTTCCGGACATGTAACATGTTACGTAATCACTTCCTTTCTTTAAATGAGAAACTGAGAGCATTAAAATGAGCAGAACAAATAAGCAGCAGGTTTAATTACTGCAATGTAATAAAATAAAAATTATATTCAGACAATCATTTTTAAAGTTAAATGTGACTTACCAAGAAAGGAGAAATGAAGGGGAAGTTTACTGAGAGGAGAAGTTTGAACTGGTGCTGTTGTTGCTGTGGTTGGCTCTGCAGTTGTTGTTGTGGTTGTGTGCTGCCACCACCACCACCATGTTGTTGTGGTTGGTGGTGCTGTAGTTGTTGTTGGTGCTGCAGTTGTTGTGGTTGAGTGCTGCCACCACCATGTTGTTGTGGTTGGTGGTGCTGTAGTTGTTGTTGGTGCTGCAGTTGTTGTGGTTGAGTGCTGCCACCACCATGTTGTTGTGGTTGGTGGTGCTGTAGTTGTTGTTGGTGCTGCAGTTGTTGTGGTTGAGTGCTGCCACCACCACCAGGGTGTTGTGTACCAAGGCCAGGGTGTTGTGGTTGGTGCTGCAGTTGTTGTGGTTAGTGGTGCTGTAGTTGTTGTTGGCGCTGCAGTTGTTGTGGTTGAGTGCTGCCACCACCACCAGGGTGTTGTGTACCAAGGCCAGGGTGTTGTGGTTGGTGCTGCAGTTGTAGTTGGTGCTGCAGTTGTTGTGGTTGAGTGCTGCCACCACCACCAGGGTGTTGTGTACCAAGGCCAGGGTGTTGTGGTTGGTGCTGCAGTTGTTGTGGTTGGTGGTGCTGTAGTTGTTGTTGGCGCTGCAGTTGTTGTGGTTGAGTACTGCCCCCACCACCAGGGTGTTGTGTACCAAGGCCAGGGTGTTGTGGTTGGTGCTGCAGTTGTAGTTGGTGCTGCAGTTGTTGTGGTTGAGTGCTGCTGCCACCACCACCAGGGTGTTGTGTACCAAGGCCAGGGTGTTGTGGCTGGTGCTGCAGTTGTATAGTACTGTAACTGCCTCTTTTTCCTCATCAATGCTGGACTCTTGGAGGTTTGAGATCCGTCTGAGTATTGCAGAGTGATGTGCCCTCGTGGAAAGTCCTCAACCACCATCTCAAACGCATAACTTCTGTGGTCATAACTGGTGCTGTTGTATTGTAACGTGCAGGAGTCCTAATAATGTGAACATTTAGGTTAAGTACAGCATCAGTACAGTTTTCAGTATATAATGGTAGGGGAAACACTGGTTTTGTACTATGAATGAGGATATCGATTTAAAAACTAACCGGATTTAAGTGGAAGCCTGAAGGTTGGTCACATGCGCCACATTCCACATTTTGGACATTTCCGTATCGGCATCGAACTTTGTCACCGTCAGGATCAAAGGTAGTCAGCTTGTAGGTCCGTGGGCAGTTCTGAGGAACTCTTCAACAGACACATTAACACAAGTGACAATTAGGCTGTGCTGGTAAGAATCCTTAGCACAAAAAAATACTAACAGACGAATTACAAACATGCACATATTGATAACTAAATAGGACTAACGGCAAACCAGCTCACAATGCCGGCCTCCACCTGTCAGTTGATCACCAACTTCCTGACTCACGGGATGCAGCAGGTGAAGCTGGGGAGCATCACATCCAGCACCTGGACCATTAGCACTGGTGCTCTTTCCAGGGGTGTGTTCTCTCCCCACTACTCTTCTCCCTCTACACAAATGACTGCACCTCAGGGGAACCTTCTGTGAAACTCCTGAAGTTCGCATACGACACCACCGTCATTGGTCTAATCCAGCTTACAGACGGGAGGTGGAACAGCTAGCTCTCTGGTGCAGTCAGAACCATCTGGAGCTGAACCCGCTCAAGACAGTGGAGATGACAGTGTACTTCATGAGAAGCCCATCCCCTTCCCCTTAACCATTCTGAACAGCACAGTGTCTACTGTGGACTCTTTCAGGTTCCTGGGATCCAATCTCCCGGGACCTGAAGTGGACCTCCCACATAGACACAATCAGAAAGAAGGCCCAGCAGAGGATGTACTTCCTGCGTCAGCTAAGGAAGTTCAACTTGCCCCAGGAGCTGCTGATCATGTTCTACACATCCATAATCCAGTCTGTTCTCTGCACCTCATTACTGTCTGGTTTGGATCTGCAACCAAACTGGACAGACACAGACCGCAACAGACTATAAGGACTGCAGAAAAAAATCATTGATGTCGACCTGTCCACCATCTAGGAGTTATACCGGTCCCGAGCCAGGAAACTGGCAGGTAGTATCACAGCAGACCCTCACACCCTGGACACAATTTTTTCAAACTCCTCCCCTCTGGCAGGCGTTACAGAACACTGTACGCCAAAACAGCCCGTCATAAGAACAGTTTCTTCCCACAGGCTGTCACTCTGATGAACGCTAAACAGTCACAGAGCGTCAGACCTGTCACTGTGAAGTAACCCTGGAACAAAACTGTCACTATGAATGTACATGTACGTATAATATTTAACTTAAATTATCATCCACACACACTTTTTAATGTAAATACTGTAAAAACTACCTCATGTTTACTGCACTACTCACCACTGCACAATTATCTTATTTAGCCTTGTACATATTTGTCTTTGCTTATTTGTTTATTGTTGATATTTAATGTTATACCTTTGTACAAAGAGAGCAAAGTTTACCAAAGTAAAATTCATTGTGTGTTTAAGCATACCTGGCCAACAAAGCTGATACTGATTCTGATACAAGATTAATTCACAGTTTTGTTGACTTTATAAGTGAAACATGCAGAATCAAGAATAACTTTACTGTTCATGAAAAAAGCAATATATTTTTTGTTTAATACACTGAACAATGGGGCGGCGGGGGACTGAAAATATCTGTAAGCATCTGGTGTAATCACCATTTGCCTCACTTATTGCAACACATTTCCTTACATATATATATATATATATATATATGTAATACATAGTTGATCAGGTTGTTGATTGTCGCCTGTAGGAAGTTGCTGGATATTGGCAGGAACTTAAACACGCTGTCATTAATGTCGGGTTACATGTCCAGTGAGTATGCAGGCCATGCAAGAACTGGGATGTTTTCAGGCTCAAGGAATTGTGCCCAGATCCTTGCAATGTTGTGCTGTGCATAATAATGCAATAAAATAACGTGATTGCATGTGCCAAATTGTCAGAAACAACTTCAGAAATGGCTTATGGTATAGATATGAGTACTCAATTCACAGGCAACAGCTCTGTTGGACATTCCTGCAGTTAGCATGCCAAAAGCATTCTGCCTAAACATATCCGTGACATCTGTGGAATTTTGCAGTGTGATAATAGTGCACATTTTAGAGTGGCCTTTAGTTGTGACCAGCCTAAGGCACACCTGTACAATAATCATGTCTAATCAGCATCTTGAGATATCACACCACTCAGGTGGATGGATTCCTCTGCAAAGGAGAAGTGCTCACTGACAGATTTAAACAAATGTGTAAACAAAGTTTGTGAGGAATAGGCCTTTTGTGTACATAGAAAAAATCTTTGATTTCAACTGATAAAAAAATTAAAGCAAAAACTAAAGTGTTGCGATATTGTTGTTCAGTGTATTTGTTTTCTTTTAGTTTGTTTTGTTTTCCACGAGGGGGCGCCAGAGAGCAAGTCGACTTGCTTTCTGACTTCGGTAAGTCATTTTTAGCTGACCTAATTTAGGTATTAGGTATAGGTATTAGGTAAAGTATTGCATTTTTAAATGATTTGTTTGAAGCAATATTTCATGACGCAATCGCAGTATAATTGTATTTACCACTGGGGTTGCTAAAGATAGACATTTTCAACATATTACTTTACAAATTGATGAACGGTTGAGCCCGTTCATGCTCAAAGCAGGGGACTCACCGTAGTAGAGGCAGGATGGCAATGTCTGGTGATCTGTTTGGTTCTCTGGTGTCAGATCTTCTTCCCAAATCCACAGTAGTCAGTAGCCTCCAATTTGACCAACCGCCTGCATTACGCGTGTTAATCCAACAACAACTAGCTGACCTGGATTGTGTGAGGGAAAAATTGTCATGGATTATTGTCACATGGATGAGTAGAGATCTGGGCAAAAAAGTCTGGTTTATAATATAAAAACCATTGGTTGAACTAGGATGGGCATTTACAGAAATCTAAGTACTTGAGTATTTGTTTATCATTACTAAAATAAAAGACGTTTGACACAGACCTCCCATAGGTCTTTCTTTGAAGTTCTGCACAATTCTGCAGCTGTCCCCTCTTCACACCTTTTCCACTCTCGTAGCTGTTTTTAGCTTTGATGGTGGATTGTACTCCAGCTTGACAAATGCCATCAACTCGAAGAAGCCTTCTCCTTCCACACAACCTAATGAGAGCTTATCTCTCGTCACCATTTTGTTATTTGGCTTTCAGCTTTCCCGACATAAAGCTCATCTCCTCCACTCTGGTATCATCTCAACATCATGTGCTTACTGGCTTAGCGAATTATTTGGTTTAACACCACTTATCTTGCACTGCAAATTATTGTCCTTTTTAATTTTTTTACAATGTACTCTCGCCTTTTATTTTTTTTTATATTTTAAATGTAGTTAACCAGGAGAACCTCATTGATATTAAGAATCCCATTTACAAGAGTGTCCTGGCCAAGAGGAGTAATCTGTCCCTTGAGCTGTAGCAGCTGTAGAGCATTTGTTGTTGTTGTAATGCCTAATGCCAAGTTGAACAATGAAAGCCAATAACAAAGTATGCGCAAGTACTGAAATGTTTCTTTAATAATTACCTGTACCCATCCCTAGTTGAAACAAAAGTATTCAATCACGTAACTTTCACTTTTGTATATTGTCCAGAGGTTGCCACTCTACAAACACCTCAAAGTTTTTACTGCTGTTCTCCTTCACATTCAACCTTATTTACATTCCGAATCTTTTTAAATTCATTATGATGGTGATAAAACTGGAATAAAGAATGAAAAATAATGTATGCTGCAGCAACAATGCTTATATGATGAAAAAACTCACCTCATTTGAAAAGGTTTGTCACTGGAAATGTATCTGGTATCAACTGTTTCAGTTTCACACCAAAGTTGTTCGTTAGACGGAGCATTCGTGCTGTTGTCTATTATCCCATACTGTGTACTGGCTTTTAAGCCACACTGACCCTGGTAACAAGACCAGTAGTGTGAGTAGGAACAGCGGTCGTAGGTGTCCCTGTTGTGAAAGTCCACCTGTAGGATAGAGCAATTCTGCGGTTAGAGATGGTTGTTCTTTTTTAGATTAAATACAGCAATAAAAATCATAATTGGGCTGCAGGGATGTGTGGAAGTCAGGGGTTCCTTTGGTGATGTCTGTCCTGGAAGAAACAGCTCAGGGCCGTAAACTAAGAAGAAGAGGTTTAGCTCATTCGCCCTCAAGTCTGGATAATTATATTAAAAAAATAAGTCGGGAATTTTGGATTTTCAGCAGGCTGTTGGTTTTAATCTCAGTATTGCTACAGTAAAATTAAGTAAGTGGGTGTATATGCAATGGAAAAATTCTGTTTACTGTCGACGTGTTGAAATGTATGACAAAATGTATTTGATATTTGACTACGCCTGTATCGGCAATCCTTACATAAGCATTAAGGTTTTTCTGTGAAGCACGTGTATATAAACCCAAGCATATTGTGATTACTTCGAGCTTTCCTTCAGACTGTATTGACACTCTGAAGCTTTGTCCTTCTACTTGCAAGAAGAATTAAACTAAACAAAGACATTGATTGACTCATGATCCTTTCTTTTGCATTGTTAACATAAATTACCAGCACATATATTTAGATCATTATTAATGAAACCTCAACTTGAGTTTTCTTAATCTATTCAGTCAAAATTTTAGGTGACTTTTTTTTTTTTGTGGGATTTAATTAACTGTATAAATGAAGCAACTCTTGAATGTTTCTTTTTTTTCTCTCAGAGTAATGTAACCCTTATAAAACAACATTTGTTATAATAAAATTTGTCATTTAAGACCTTCAACCAGTCCAGATACCTTTGAATCAATTTGCAAACATTTGTCATGATAAAAACAATTTATAGAATGCGACAAATCTGATCACAAGAAATTACATTTGAAGTTGTTTCACTTACAATATGTCTCCCATCAGGGGCTTTTCCTCTGTAGGTGTAGGTCGTGGTTCCCCCCATGTGATGAGAGGCAGACGCCAGTGAGACCAGGAGCAGCTGCAGCAGGAGCACCAGTGTGAAGGCCATGATGCTCTGACTCATCTCTTCCTCAGATCCTCTGCAGCCAAATCCACCTCCATCATTCTTTTATACCTCTGTAGGTTGGACAAAAGGTATTGATGCCAGCTGAAAGGTATGAACACTATGTCACAGAACAATAGGCCTTCACAGAAAAATAGGCCTTCTTCTGAACTGGTTTTTCTTTTTTTTTGTCAAGGCACTTGCTTTCAGTTTCTCGTAAAACAGAAGTCACTCAAACTGTCAGGAGATTTGAAAGATTTGAACAATCATTGTAGTGTATTATCAATTGCAATTTATTGTACACTGTTTTAAATACTTCCAAATTCACTTAAGATAAAGAGATGCATGATTAACTGAATCAAGGGTCTGTAAAATGAATGAGGATGCATGCAAATACAATATGTTACCATCAACAATCACAGACAGAAATATAGCTTAAAGTTTGGTCTTGGCACTGAAAGTAAAGCAAGACCTATGTCTAAAATAAAATAAAAAACACTTTTTTTTTGCTTCCTAACTATGTCACAGAACAATAGGCCTTCTTCTGAACTGGTTTTGATTTAAACCTCTGCTGGAATCTTTTTTTTTTGTCAAGGCACTTGCTTTCAGTTTCTCGTAAAACAGAAGTCACTCAAACTGTCAGGAGATTTGAAAGATTTGAACAATCATTGTAGTGTATTATCAATTGCAATTTATTGTACACTGTTTTAAATACTTCCAAATTCACTTAAGATAAAGAGATGCATGATAAACTGAATCAAGGGTCTGTAAAATGAATGAGGATGCATGCAAATACAATATGTTACCATCAACAATCACAGACAGAAATGTAGCTTAAAGTTTTGTCTTGGCACTGAAAGTAAAGCAAGACCTATGTCTAAAATAAAATAAAAAACACTTTTTTTTTGCTTCCTAACTATATTGGTAATTGATTGAAAGCCTGCCATCTATGAAGAGCTTCACCTTCAAAAAAAAGCGAGTGACTAAGCGACAAGCTACATTCCTTAAGCTCTCATAGCTTCTTGAGTTCAGTAAATGCTCAACTTTGCTCAGTTACCACCATCAATAAAATCTCATTCTAAGGAAACACTTCTTTATAAAATGAATACGTTCTCCTGGACTGTTTAGATATGAAAACTTGCAGTTCACCATCCCTGGATCCTCCCCACCTCAAGCCTCTGAACCAATGTGGTCTTTTTTGGCTTTTCAGAAACCAATGGAAGATGTCACGGTGGCCTTGTCCTTTATCTATATAGTTTGTGGTCCTACTACACGATGACAAGTCACCTCTTTCAATCATTTCTGGAAGTTTTACGCCATTGTGTAACATGTCACTTCATGCACCTTCAAGTATAAAGACGTAAACTGAAGCTAAAACTGAGAAGAAATCCAGGCTGTGATTGTTCACAGCTTTTGAATAAAAGGCAGCTTTTGCCTACAAGGCTGCTGCAGACATGATCTCCTGATATGTTTAACTGATAATAATGTGGTTGATTCTTATAAATGAAATCTATAAATCAAATAAATAACTGGCTCATTGTGCAAAAAAAAAAAGGGAGGCAGCTGTGTTATTCATGGTCTACTAACACAAATATTCAAACATGCATTGTTTTTGATCCCCAGGATAAAGAAAAAAAAAACACCCACTCATCTGACCGGTTTGTTCACTTAGAAGGTGCTCCTTTTAATCTCAGAACTTGACACTGGTTTGTTTTCCATTTATGTGCTCCAGTGTTTCCCGCAATACTTGGGCATCTTTCTTTAACTACATCTATAGACTGTAACAGGCTGATAGAAAACCCAAATGTGCCATACTTTATATCGTTTATATCAAATGTGTTTTTGTCCTCTACATTACTTTAGCAGGCTGAGATGACATTGCTATTGTTAAGTTAGCTGTAGACACAATGAGTGGGAACGGAGTAAAGTTGAACCGACCATTTGACCGGATCATGTGTGTTCCTGACTCGGTCCGTACCTAATATGTGCAGTCTTTGGTCTGTACGGATCACGGATCAACTTTGTGCCGTTGCACTTAAAGTAAAAAGGTGCGTGTGTTGGCTGGCGCTCCAGTGTGTGTGCGCATTTGTGCAGCAATGTACTGTATGTTGGTGTAGCTCAGCGTGCCCCACAATGCTCACAGTCATGACAGCAGAGAGCGGAGCACATCCTTGTACTGGTGATGTTTAATCAGTATGTCTATAAATGTAATCCGAACCCAACATACAAAACATGCAGGCTGACTCAAAACACCTGCTGCTGCTGTCCAATCCCAGTGCCTTTTCATTCTCATACAAACTTGTTTGTTCCCCTAAGTAAGAGATCATCATCGACCTGTGTTACATTCATACCTGCCACATTCTTGTATTTTAAACAGGTAAATTCTGGGTAGCAGCCAATTGCTCAAGCAGAGGCGGGGCAGTTTGGGTCTGGCCTTAAAAAACACATTTGAGGAACCTATGTCAAGTGATGTCAAGTCAAAGTTTGTTTTAAAACAACCTCAACAGACCAAAGTGCTGGAAATGTTTAAAACACAATATAAAGGATGAATGTGAATAAAATGAACAGTAAAATAGATAAAAAACACAAATAGGAGCAAAATATAATGTAAGCACAGTGGTCAAGATCAGCTCTTTTCCGTTGAGACTGTTAAGGTAAGACAAAGACCTATTTTCCTCCAAAGGTATTTCAGAGAGTCATTCATGAAGCAGTTGCAGGTCTTCTTATTGGGAAGAGACAACATGACATGACTCTCTCCTGTACTGGCTCCTCTCTACTGGCTTCCTGTCAGCTTCAGGTTCCAGTTTAAGATTTTATTACCTGTTTTTAATACTTTAACGTTTGTATCTTTTTATTTGTCAGAACGCCACAGTCAACACACAGTTGATTTCAGGATTTTGAGTCAGCATAGCACTGAGACTGCACCAGTAAAAGTAAGAAATTGTGCCAATATTCAAATCAAAAGGAACTGGACCTATGTGCAGAACTAATACAAATCATTTTTTAAACAAAAAGACCAAAAGGCAATAACACAAAAGCTTACTTTTTCCAGTTCAAAAAAACAAAGCCCAACAGAAGTCCACTAACATATCCAAGAAGAGAAAAAACTGAGGAAACACTAGGAATATATGGACAACAGGGACATTCTGACAATGAACTGACACAGAAGGTAAAGCATAAAGACACTAAATAAACCTGGAGTGATGGGACACAGGTGTGACAAACACAACGGAGGTGAAACTGATGAGGGAGAGACATAAATGTGTGAGAAAATAGTTTTATTATTGATTATCATCATGATCAATCATTCTTAATATCGGAATTTCTTCCATGGATCACCTATTGAATTCAAAAGTTGTAGACTGTACCAGGGGTTCCCAAACTTTTTAGCCTGTGACCCCCAATATAATGGTGCTATAGACTGGGGACCCCCATTGTCCCTGGAGTTGGTTAAAACATTTAACATTGCACACAGCCACACACACTATAAGTCATATCCAAACATTGGCATTAGAACACCACACAATATCCCAAACACCATCATACTATGTTTGTAATTTGTTGTAAGCAACTACTTATTTGTATGTATTTTCACAATAATGGGTAAAATATGCAATTTTAAACCATTTTACATTTTGAGAAGTGTCTCGCGACCCCCAGTGGACTATACCATGTGGCGGAATGAGTATCAGTAAAAAATAACTTATTTTTGAAGTGCACATAATAAGACACAACAAGACCCCATATCCCTTACCAGAAAAAATCCCAATAACTATATTCCTGTGTAATTAATAGAGATGCACATGCAGCTGTCTTAATCCTCAAATGTGGCCAGAGGTTGGTATTTGACCCTTGATATTTTGGCTTTGTACACAGCCACTCCACTGATCATGCCAACGGCTGCAACAAGACATCCAGCGATGAAAACCAGGTTCAGATTCAGGTTCATCACTGGAGGAAAAAAGTGAAAGATTTTATTTTGACCTAATCAAAGATTAACTGGGTTTTAAAAACGTCAGGTGTGCTGTAAACAAAACAACTCCTGTTTTCTTACCTGGGCTTTCTGCTCTCTCTGCTGACCTCCTCATGCGCAGGGGACCCTGGGAGACAAGGTGGGATGAAGTCTGGCCGACAGTCTCTCTCTTACGTCTGTTAGAGCCTTGATTCATTGCCATGCATCCCTGTGAGCACCTGGTGTTGGGTTCTCCTGCCTGACACATCAGGACTGAGCAGCTGATATACACCTGAATACAACAACACATGCTGTCATTATGAGGGCAGAAAAACTGTTTTAACAAGTTACCTGAGAAGAGGATACAAAACAGAAAACTCTTATGGTCCCTTATCTGCTTAACGTTGCTTGGGACACTTACTTATCCTGCTTCCACGTTTTATAAAACCAATAATAATACATGTTCAATTTATGTGGGACAATTATTACATAAAAATGCATTCGTCACCTGGTCATGTAATCCAATGAATTTGAAGGCCTCCATGCTGAACTTGAACTGTCTCTGGTGGTCAGGGGAGTGGATGATAACAGTCGAATCCACTTTACACCTATTGAGAGTAAATAATTAACATTATAATATAACCTTTCTAATATTTCTTTTATCAGGAAATGGAAGCCATTACAGGGACAGATTATCATTGTCTCTGTCATGAAAATACTGGAAAAAAGGTTAAATAACAAAGATGGCAATGAATGAGTACAGCCAGAACAGTTGAGAGCATGAATGAAAAAAAAAGAAATATTTTTTGTGTAATGTCAAATGTTGTGGAGAACGGGTTGTCTTTAACTAACAATGATAGACATTTTATGGGGAGGTGACAGTGACTTTTTTTCCTGGTTCCTATCCAGGATTTCAATTTAGGGTTCATTGTCCTCTGCAAGAAATATAACGCCAAATTACTCAGGAAGGTTTAGTGAATGTGACTTAGTAGTACTGCGTACTAGACAAGTACTTAGTAGGTCTGCGCAGTTAATCGCGATTATATCGTTATGGAGTCTGTAAGCAATGC